GGCAATAACTAACCACATCATTCTTTATTCTACATTGTGCTGGGGAAGGCACCTAGAGAAGGCCGGACAAAGCTCCGCCCTAAAGCAGGCTTACAAAGTCTATACAAAAGATTTTTGGATCAAGTCTTCAGCTATTTTCACCTCAACAGTGGCAATGAAGAAGGAACCTACAGAGAGTGGCTTTACAAAACAGGCACAAGTGGGTCGAGATTTTCCATGGAGCAAAAAAAAAATAAATGGAAGTCACAGTCACTGGATGAGCTTCTTCCAATTCATAATGTAAAGTCATTCGAGGAAATCCAGCATCACAAATGGTTCCTTCACAGAAAGGCCCGCTGTTCATTTTGGGTGGAAAACTCCTTTATATACAAAAAAAAATGGTATGTGAAGCTCTTCAGGACTGGTTACAGAATGTTCAACCTCTTCTAGGACCATGATCCTGAGGAGCCTCCAGCATTGAAGCTCTTCAGCACTGGTTACAGAATGTTCAACCTCTTCTAGGACCATGATCCTGAGGAGCCTCCAGCATTGAAGCTCTTCAGCACTGGTTACAGAATGTTCAACCTCTTCTAGGACCATGATCCTGAGGAGCCTCCAGCATTGAAGCTCTTCAGGACTGGTTACAGAATGTTCATCCTCTTCTAGGACCATGATCCTGAGGAGCCTCCAGCATTGAAGCTCTTCAGCACTGGTTACAGAATGTTCAACCTCTTCTAGGACCATGATCCTGAGGAGCCTCCAGCATTGAAGCTCTTCAGCACTGGTTACAGAATGTTCAACCTCTTCTAGGACCATGATCCTGAGGAGCCTCCAGCATTGAAGCTCTTGAGCACTGGTTACAGAATGTTCAACCTCTTCTAGGACCATGATCCTGAGGAGCCTCCAGCATTGAAGCTCTTGAGCACTGGTTACAGAATGTTCAACCTCTTCTAGGACCATGATCCTGAGGAGCCTCCAGCATTGAAGCTCTTGAGCACTGGTTACAGAATGTTCAACCTCTTCTAGGACCATGATCCTGAGGAGCCTCCAGCATTGAAGCTCTTGAGCACTGGTTACAGAATGTTCAACCTCTTCTAGGACCATGATCCTGAGGAGCCTCCAGCATTGAAGCTCTTCAGCACTGGTTACAGAATGTTCAACCTCTTCTAGGACCATGATCCTGAGGAGCCTCCAGCATTGAAGCTCTTCAGCACTGGTTACAGAATGTTCAACCTCTTCTAGGACCATGATCCTGAGAAGCCTCCAGCATTGAATGGATTAAGGCAAAAAACGGGTTCATCCAGTACAGTCTACATGATGGCTCTTGGAGTTAGGCAGTGACAATGGCGTCCCTTCTTACCAAAGTGATACAATTTGTGAGTTTAAAAGACTAAGCTGTGTTGGGAATGGGGTAAGGTCTAACAACATAGAACAAGATCTACAGGATCCCCCCCCCCACCACCCAACTAATCCAAACGGAGAAGAAACCTTACATCCATCCCTTACACCACACTGTAGACCAGCCATTCTCAACCAGGAATCCATGGAACCCTAGAGAGTTCTTCCAGAATATGCTAAGGGCTCCTTGAGTTGTGGTTAATCCACCGCCAATTCGATTGTTCCTACATGGCTTCAAGGACAATGATGAGGTGCCACTGGAAGGTATGATTCCCCCCCCCCCAACTGGAGAACAAAGTGACCACTACTGGAAGGGGACATTCTTCACACTATCTAAAGGCAAACGGACATTCTTACCACTGCCCCTGCTAATTTGGTTTAGATGTAGTTCCAAAACAAACATTTTTTTTTTTTTGAAGGGTTCCTTAGGGGTGTAAAGGTTGAGAATAGCTGCTGTAGCCGGCACCACCCCAATAGAGTTCCTGGATACACCTCTTCCTTGCGATATGCAATGCTCATTTCTCTCCGATTGGTGACACACACTGACCAAAGATAAAAACGTTGATCCCAAAACTGGTCAGCAAATGGTCTACATTGAGCTTCAACATTAATCACCTAATCTAGAAAGAGCCTAGAACCTACAGGGAAACCCTTTAGAATCAGACCTGAGACACAGGAGATGGACATACATTAGACCAGGGGTGTCAAACTGGCAGCCCTCCAGTTGTTGAGAAACTACAAGTCCCATCATGCCTCTGCCTTTGGGAGTCATGTTTCCAATCTTGCAAACGCCTCATGGGACTTGTAGTTTGGCAACAGCTGGAGGGGCCGCCAGTTTGATACCCATGCATTAGACAGAACCTAAACAACAAACAGCTGGAAGGAGGTTTCGGAGGGTGGTGGTGGGGGTAGGGCCTGGAACCCATAGGTCACGATCACACCTCATTACAATGGGTTCTATGTGAGAATGACAAGCTCTGCTGCCACACCCCAGGGTCATAGGAAGCTTTGTATACATGGGAAGACACCATGCAGGATGGGGATCACTTGTCTTCACATCATGTCTGTTAGCACAACCATCTCTCGTCATACTGTCTGGGCCAGGCACACAATACAGCAAATCAATGAATGCACCTCTGGGCTTAAAGGGAACCTGTCACTTGCAAAAAAAAAAGACCAGCTATGTAAAGGTGCAGGAAACCTCCTCTCTGGCAGTCCATATCCTAAAATGCCACCAATTCACATCTCTCCAGCTACAGCAGGTCTTCCACACATCAGGTTTTACGTGATCCCCATCACTACGTGATGTACAAACTGGCCAGACTACCGCTGAATGGAGCGGGGGGGAGGTATTTAACCCACCCTACCCATTGTATACCTGCAGCTGCTGGAGAGCAGTGGAGTGGGGGCTTTACAAGACACGGACCACCCCAGAGGTCGGTAAAAGGTATAGTGCTGCTACTGGTATAGGGCTGCTGTTTGTTTTCTTCAGGCAGCCGGTATGGTGACAGGATGTGACCGGCGCACCATGAATCTCCAAAATGGGTCCAAAACTTGATTCAGCAATCTCACTGTTACACCAGAAGCAATCTTTCAGGTATGACTCCAAAACGTTGCTCCTGCTGTCACAACATGACCGCTCAATAAAGTTTTGGACCTCATTTCGGAGATCAATTGGTGTGCTGGTGACATCCTCTCGCTCCGACTTTCTGCGGTTCCAGCCGGTGATTGCTGCAGCACCCACTTATAGATCCAGCCATTGCTTCAGAAATGTGTGGTGGAACCTATGGTGCCAGGATCAATTCAAGAAATGTCCGCTGTGCCATACCCCACAGCTACACACATACAACCATCTCATGGGAAGATTTTCTGTGCTGTCCAATTTAATTATATCTCACAGTATGTGCTGGTGTCCCCAGATTTCAATTGTATCTCACAGTATGTGCCGGTGTCCCCAGATCTCAATTGTATCTCACAGTATGTGCCGGTGTCCCCCAGATCACAATTGTATCTCGCGCACAGTATGAGCCGGTGTCCCCAGATCTCAAATGTATCTCACAGTATGTGCCGGTGTCCCCAGATCTCAATTGTATCGCACAGTATGTGCCGGTGTCCCCAGATCTCAATTGGATCGCACAGTATGTGCCGGTGTCCCCAGATCTCAATTGGATCGCACAGTATGTGCCGGTGTCCCCAGATCTCAATTGGATCGCACAGTATGTGCCGGTGTCCCCAGATTACAATTGTATCGCACAGTATGTGCCGGTGTCCCCAGATCTCAATTGGATCGCACAGTATGTGCCGGTGTCCCCAGATCTCAATTGGATCGCACAGTATGTGCCGGTGTCCCCAGATCTCAATTGGATCGCACAGTATGTGCCGGTGTCCCCAGATCTCAATTGTATCTCACAGTATGTGCCGGTGTCCCCAGATCTCAATTGTATCGCACAGTATGTGCCGGTGTCCCCAGATCTCAATTGTATCGCACAGTATGTGCCGGTGTCCCCAGATTACAATTGTATCGCACAGTATGTGCTGGTGTCCCCAGCTTTCTTCAGATGATGGAGTAGATGTGGCTGAACACCACCCGCCCCATGTGATGGAATGTGAGGCGATTATCATACATGTAGACAGGAGGCTACAGGGACAAATCCATGACCCATAGGACCCAACATCATCATCCTCCCAACGCTGGGTCTTCACTATGAAGGATTTGGGTCCAGGAGATTGTATAATGACCCCACAAAGGGTGCAGGATAAACCACAAACACTGAGGGCGCCTGGCGGAGGAGACCCTGGCGGAGGAGACGGCTGCCATGACAGAAAGGAGATTTACTATATACAGAGCAGACCAGCTATCCCCACAATGTGTATACAAAGCAGCTCTCCTCCTGCAGATCCCAGGCGCCTCGTCTCGACGTAGAAAGTGATGGACAACGATGTGAGGAGACACAGAAATGTGGAAAGGTTCCATCTGCAGAAGGGGGTGACTTGGATCAGAGCAGAACCAGCGCAGCTTTCTAGGAGGAATGGAGAATGATGAGCCCGGCAGAACCATGACAGGAGGATTACAGGAAGACAGAAAGCAGGCAGGAGACAACCGGCGCTCGGTGTTGGCCTATGGACAGGGTAGGAGACACATTGTGAAGCATGTAATCTGTACAGCCGGACCACTAATCTCCAATATGTACAGACTCCATGCGACTGTGTGCGCCGGACACCACAAACACCCCACCCGACAGTCCGGGAACAATATGGCACAACAGGTACAAAACAAACCCAACACCCACAAAAAGAACCTCGAATGTGCAACAAAACCGGATCCCAGGAAACATTCACATTTCATCGAAACAAATTACAGAAAACAAAAAACGGGAAACTTGGCAAGAATGGCGTCTCACACAGCCAATCGTAACAGAGACTGCGAATCGTCCCTGAAATCAGAAATGGCGGTCCATGATCTGCCCACGAGGGTCCACAACATGGACAGCATACAAGGACTTCACCAGGAACACTGGCGGGGTTTGGCACTCGTATAGGTGATGCTGGTGATTTGGGGTCACTAATCAGAAAACGGAGAAGCTGAACACAATGATCGGGAGATGGGGGGACAATTCAGATTTGGGTTAGGTGTGGCCTCATCTACCAGGCTGGAGGATCTCCATCTTCTAAGTAACAGAAGAGACATTCATATCCAACAGCTCAGCTTTACACCCATAAACTAGATGTCTGGCATTGGCCTCCTATAAGGCATGGCACATATCACCTCCCCCCCCCCCCACGGAATTTGCATTACCACCCTCACACACTGGGGGGTCAACAGAGACGCTCATACTACAGGAGGAGCACCCTACACAGCACGGAGCCAACCTACCTTCTAATACAAGGGGGCCCTCTACCTCTGAGTATCATACAACTGCTACCATTCTCCTGGAGCTTCCTCCAAGGCCTTAGAAAGGCCACCATTCTCCTGGAGCTTCCTCCAAGCCCTAAGAAAGGCCACCATTCTCCTTGAGCTTCCTCCAAGCCCTCAGAAAGGCCACCATTCTCCTGGAGCTTCCTCCAAGCCCTAAGAAAGGCCACCATTCTCCTTGAGCTTCCTCCAAGCCCTCAGAAAGGCCACCATTCTCCTGGAGCTTCCTCCAAGCCCTCAGAAAGGCCACCATCTCCTGGAGCTTCCTCCAAGCCCTCAGAAAGGCCACCATTCCCCTGGAGCTTCCTCCAAGCCCTCAGAAAGGCCACCATTCTCCTTGAGCTTCCTCCAAGCCCTCAGAAAGGCCACCAGTCTCCTGGAGCTTCCTCCAAGCCCTTAGAAAGGCCACCATTCTCCTGGAGCTTCCTCCAAGCCCTTAGAAAGGCCACCCCAATGTAGGACATTAAGAACCATGTAACATGGCAGCTACACAGCCTGGGGGACCAACTCCAGAGGGAACCATATTATAATCAGATCCTCTGAGGGGGTCCATGAAACAAAGACCCCCAACGAGGAGAGCAGTATTACACACAGCTGTGCATGCAGATCTTTACTCTGCAGAACTCCTCGCACCAATCTGATCCCAATCCTGGGGCTGGGCCAATAGCAGACCACCCCACACCTTGCCACCATGGTTACTCCTGGCCCAAACTGATCCCAATCCTGAGGCTGAACCAATAGGAGGCCCCCCCTCCAACAGTCTCTGTGATCCTCCTTGCACCAAGCTGATTCCACGCCATGGGCTGGTCCATTAGGAGCTCCCCCCCTTCCCCCCCACAAAGCCTCTGTGATTCCTTCTAACAAATCTGATCCCGATCCTCGGGCCGGTCTAATTGCAGACCACCCCCCGCCTTGCCACCATGGTTACTCCTGGCACCAATCGGATTCCACTCCTCAGTCTGGTCCAATAGCAGCTCCCCAACCCTCCCAAAGCCTCTGTGGTTCCTCTAGACACAAATCTGATCCCAATCCTTGGGCTGAGCCAATAGCAGGTCTCCCCTCCACCAGTCTCTGTGGTTCCTCTCAACACAAATCTGATCCCGATAGCATCCCCCCCAGTCTGTGGTTCCTCCTGTCGCCATTCCAATTCCACTCCATGGGCTGGTCCAATAGCAGCTCATTGACCCCCACCCTCCCCTCCCCCATAGCCTCTGTGGCTCCTCTCAACAGAAATCTGCTCCCCATCCTCAGGCTGGTCCAATAGCATCCCCTTCCCTACTTGTCCCAGCCTCCATGGTTGCACCTGGCACCAATCTGATTCCACTCCACTGGCTAATCTAACAGCAGATCCCCCCCCCCCCCCATGGGCCTCTGTGGTTCCTTCTGCTGACTGCTTGTCACTAAAAAAAACTAGTCAGGAGGAACCACAGCCAGAAGTGTGGAGTAGGACTGGTGCTGGGAGTTCTCCGACAGTGTGAATGGGGCGAAGGACAGCCGTGTAGAATACCAGTCTTGTTATGTGGCTCAGCCCTGCCAGCGTGACTTCCAGCGTGACCTATGTAGAAGGTGAGCACGGTCATGGTGAGAAAGCTGCATCTGTATTGTCCTCCGTGTGTTACATACAGCTGTGATGTCACAGCTTGCTATATCCTGTGATATAGAACACTGCTAGTACCTGTCCTGCTGAAGAGCCACCCCTGCCAGAGGAGTCTTCTGTACGAGACCTTGGGGGGTGTCCCCCCTGTGCAGGACATAGGTTGGAGCGAGGAACCACAAAGCTCAGCAGACACCAGGCATAGGAACCAGGAGTGTTGGATTGGAACCCAGCCCTGGGAGTATGGGAGCACAGGCTCTCCCGGGACCTCCTCCCCTCCAAACACAAACTGCCCCACACCCAGCTTTACTGATAGCAGACCAGGTGAGGAAGACATTCTCTGCCCAGCCAGATATAAATTTGCCCCGACCCATAGGAGGAGGGTAAGTGAGGAGGGTAGGAGCCGATATACAGCACTGCTATATTCGGGGTCTAGGACACAGTATATAGGAATTCCTACCCTCCTCACTTACCCACCTCCTAGGTGAAGGAAAGGTTTGTCTGACCTAATCTGGTACTAATAAAGTTGGTTGCAGTACAGGAATTACAAAGGCCGCAGCTTGGAGATTGCTTGGTGGGCTCAGCCAGCAGGAGAGGTAGGTAGTCACCGTGTTTTCAATGTATTGTACGGGAAGGTGATAAGGCACTTGGGGCGGCCAGGCCTGACAAGGCCCAGAAACGCACAGAACGTATTCAAGATTCAGGAGTTGCATGAAATGTAGAAAGCTGACAACGCCGAGCCCAGTGTGGTCACATGATGGTGTCAGAGAGGGAGAACCCCCAGCTAAGGGTCACCCACACCCGGCTACAAGACGGTCTTCCATGTACTCCGAGGTCCTTCCTCAGGGACGTGCTTTTACAGCCACAGACCTACAGATTGAGGAAAGACGGGCACACGAGAGCCGGCTCCACCAATCAACACTCCCCCACAATTCCTCCCATAGGAGGGAATATACAGCTGAGCTCCGGGACGGTCGGACATTCTCACCAATACTTATCATTCTCCAGAATTTTGGCAGCTTTTGTAAACCAAGGCTGACATTCTCCACACGGGAGGATATAAATCAGTGACATCACAGAGTACAGAACAGGAGCCATGACGGGACACCATCTCCTGGTAAGCATGGCACACGTGTGTGAGGGGCGGGTACGCAGCAAAATCACAGATTTCCCGACACTTTACCAGACCTGTGATGGTGCCATCATTGTCAGACCCACCAATCCACATGGTGCAGTCATGGATGCCTTCTGTTTCTATAGGGCAACCCACTGAAATGAACCGGCTGCTTTACATACAACATGTGGAAACATGCCTGTGTCTGGTCATACATGTAGATGTGAACCAAGCCTTACGCCGGTTCACTAGGGACCGGCCGAGACTCCAACCATCTATGGGCAGGGTGATTGGACCCAATTCGATGGTTGTAGGCTGCAGGATTTTGTGTGCAATTATTCCTAGCAGCTGCTATAACGCTTCACCGATCTCATGGCCAGGAAGGATTCCCCCCCCCTTCCAGCACTGGGAGAACACAACAGGAGGGATTCCCTCACCAACACCGACTGTGTTCATGAGGGGACTCCTGAGTTTTTCCTGCAACATGTAATTGAGGGAAAGAAAACTGCATCATCTACAGCCCGCTTAGTGTGTTACCGATCTGACCAAAATTCCCATCATGCAATGGGAACTGGTGTCCTCAATGAGCAAGTGCAGAGGTGGGATTACAGGCTTGCCCCTCTCAAACTGAAGTCATGGAGTCTCCTGACCTGTCAATCACATTGTGACATCATGGTGGGTGGGACAGACCTGGAGACTTCTGGTCTGCCAATCATATTAAGCGGTGTTGGTGGGCGGGTCAGACCAGGAGTCTGGAACATCTCCAGCCTTCCACAGGGGAAGGGATGGGGGGGCAGCCAGCACCGGTCACTGGGAAAGGGGGACAGAGCCCTTAACCTGAATTCATAAATCAAGGCCACCTGATCCCCTTTGGGGGCCGGACGCCCAATGGCACCCGGGGGCCGGACGCCCAATGGCACCCGGGGGCCGGACGCCCAATGGCACCCGGGGGCCGGACGCCCAATGGCACCCGGGGGCCGGACGCCCAATGGCACCCGGGGGCCGGACGCCCAATGGCACCCGGGGGCCGGACGCCCAATGGCACCCGGGGGCCGGACGCCCAATGGCACCCGGGGGCCGGACGCCCAATGGCACCCGGGGGCCGGACGCCCAATGGCACCCGGGGGCCGGACGCCCAATGGCACCCGGGGGCCGGACGCCCAATGGCACCCGGGGGCCGGACGCCCAATGGCACCCGGGGGCCGGACGCCCAATGGCACCGGGGGCCGGACGCCCAATGGCACCCGGGGGCCGGACGCCCAATGGCACCCAGGGGCCGGACGCCCAATGGCACCCAGGGGCCGGACGCCCAATGGCACCCAGGGGCCGGACGCCCAATGGCACCCAGGGGCCGGACGCCCAATGGCACCCAGGGGCCGGACGCCCAATGGCACCCAGGGGCCGGACGCCCAATGGCATCCAGGGGCCGGACGCCCAATGGCATCCAGGGGCCGGACGCCCAATGGCATCCAGGGGCCGGCCACCCAATGACATTGAATTGTCTGCCCGGAGTGCACGATTCCTTGTAGCCGGGTGTCGGGGTGTGCAGCACTATGAAGGAGGCTCCTACCAGCATGCACGATTAGAAGTTATAAAAGGCTTTAATTAAATAGTATTACTTTATGGGAAGAAAAAAAAACAAACAAAACATACTGCATCTTATAAATCACAACTGGCCGTCCTATCAGTGACATCAGCGGCCAGTTCCCATGAACACAGGCCAAACGCACCCAAAGTATTCTGGGTATGTAGCGGGAGCCAATCAGAAGTCGGCATCCTCAGGAACTCGCAGCCAACGTCACCACACTGCAATCTTTTTGAAAGGCCTGAAGTCCTTCAGCCATTGGTGGTGTTAGAAGCAATACTACAGTATAAACCTAGACCAGGAGCTCCCCTGGGAACCTCAACTAGGACTTCTGTCAATATAAAAACAAAGTTTTCTCCTAAAATGGTAAAAAAAAAAAAAAGGTTTAAAATAGAACTTTGTGCTTATTTCCTGCGTTGCTAGTTTTAAAAACACACAAAAAAGTAGAAGCCGCAGCAAGCGATCCTATGTCCTCGCAGCGAGAATCCGCATTCGCAGCGAACTCGCTACTCATTTCCGGACTGAACTGCGGCAGAAGCGTCAGGATCCTCCGGGGAGGTGGAGTCTGCCAGGCCACGCGGTGGGATGAACCAGCCAGGGGGGAGGCGGCTCCAGCAGAAAAGGATAAGGCTTCGGTTGGCGGAGATTTATGGCAACTATCCAAAAGAATGGGAAGATCAGAAGTCCAAGAGCTGACAATCGTCTCTCTTCCTGTTACAAACCTCAAAAGCATCAATTGGATAAAACAGGATAAAATCGTTCGGCGATCACTGCAGCATCAGCTGCTTGAGGTTGTCATGGAGGATTGTATCTTTGACGTCGCGGAAGACGAGGCGGATGTTCTCCGTGTTGATGGCCGTGGTGAAGTGGTGGTACAGCGGCTTCTGTTGCTGGTCTCGGCGCTTGTTGCGGAAACAATCTACCAGGTACTTTTGGACGTCAGAAAGGCAATGGGGGTCCCCCTCGAAGTCGGGGAAGTAGTCCTTTATGCTGACTATTTTCACCTTCTCCTCCAGCAAGTCAGTCTTGTTGAGGAACAGGATGATGGAGACGTTGCTGAACACGCGGTTGTTGACTATCGTCTCGAAGATGTTGAGGGACTCGGTCAGGCGGTTGGTCTGCCGGTCCTCCATGAGCACCTGGTCATACTCGCTGGAGGACACCAAGAACAGGATGGAGGTGACGCTGTCAAAGCACTCGAACCAACGCTTCCGCTCCGACCGCTGACCCCCAACGTCCACCATTTTGAAAGGCACGTTTTTGATTTCGAAGTCATACTCATGGATTCCTTTGGTGGGACGACGGGCCAGCAATATGTCCTGCTGAGAGGGGAGGTAGTCCTGCGGGGGGGAAAGCAGAGACACGGTCACCATACTCATCATCAGGAGACATCGACCCACACATTGACAACACCCTCCCCGATGAACTACAAGGCCCAGCACCCTCCGCTCCCCTCCCCGATGAACTACAACACCCAGCACCCTCCGCTCCCCTCCCCGATGAACTACAAAACCCAGCACCCTCCGCTCCCCTCCCCGATGAACTACAACGCCCAGCACCCTCCGCTCCCCTCCCCGATGAACTACAACGCCCAGCACCCTCCGCTCCCCTCCCCGATGAACTACAAGGCCCAGCACCCTCCGCTCCCCTCCCCGATGAACTACAAGGCCCAGCACCCGCCGCTCCCCTCCCCGATGAACTACAACACCCAGCACCCTCCGCTCCCCTCCCCGATGAACTACAACACCCAGCACCCTCCGCTCCCCTCCCCGATGAACTACAACGCCCAGCACCCTCCGCTCCCCTCCCCGATGAACTACAACACCCAGCACCCTCCCCTCCCCGATGAACTACAACGCCCAGCTCCCCTCCCCTCCCCGATGAACTACAACGCCCAGCACCCTCTCCCCCTCCCCGATGAACTACAACACCCAGCACCCTCCGCTCCCCTCCCCGATGAACTACAACGCCCAGCACCCTCCGCTCCCCTCCCCGATGAACTACAACGCCCAGCACCCTCCCCTCCCCGATGAACTACAACGCCCAGCACCCTCCCCTCCCGATGAACTACAACGCCCAGCACCCTCCCCTCCCCGATGAACTACAACGCCCAGCACCCTCCCCTCCCCGATGAACTACAACGCCCAGCACCCTCCGCTCCCCTCCCCAATGAACTACAACGCCCAGCACCCTCCGCTCCCCTCCCCAATGAACTACAACGCCCAGCACCCTCCGCTCCCCTCCCCGATGAACTACAAGGCCCAGCACCCTCCGCTCCCCTCCCCGATGAACTACAACGCCCAGCACCCTCCGCTCCCCTCCCCGATGAACTACAACACCCAGCACCCTCCGCTCCCCTCCCCGATGAACTACAACGCCCAGCACCCTCCGCTCCCCTCCCCGATGAACTACAAGGCCCAGCACCCTCCGCTCCCCTCCCCGATGAACTACAACGCCCAGCACCCTCCGCTCCCCTCCCCGATGAACTACAACGCCCAGCACCCTCCGCTCCCCGATGAACTACAACGCCCAGCACCCTCCCCTCCCCGATGAACTACAACGCCCAGCACCCTCCCCTCCCCGATGAACTACAACGCCCAGCACCCTCCCCTCCCCGATGAACTACAACGCCCAGCACCCTCCCCTCCCCGATGAACTACAACGCCCAGCACCCTCCCCTCCCCGATGAACTACAACGCCCAGCACCCTCCGCTCCCCTCCCCGATGAACTACAACACCCAGCACCCTCCGCTCCCCTCCCCGATGAACTACAACGCCCAGCACCCCTCCGCTCCCCTCCCCGATGAACTACAACACCCAGCACCCTCCGCTCCCCTCCCCGATGAACTACAACACCCAGCACCCTCCGCTCCCCTCCCCGATGAACTACAACGCCCAGCACCCTCCGCTCCCCTCCCCGATGAACTACAACACCCAGCACCCCTCCGCTCCCCTCCCCGATGAACTACAACACCCAGCACCCTCCGCTCCCCTCCCCGATGAACTACAACGCCCAGCACCCTCCGCTCCCCTCCCCGATGAACTACAACACCCAGCACCCTCCGCTCCCCTCCCCGATGAACTACAACACCCAGCACCCTCCGCTCCCCTCCCCGATGAACTACAACGCCCAGCACCCCGCCGCTCCCCTCCCCGATGAACTACAAGGCCCAGCACCCTCCGCTCCCCTCCCCGATGAACTACAACACCCAGCACCCCCGCCGCTCCCCTCCCCGATGAACTACAACACCCAGCACCCTCCGCTCCCCTCCCCTCCCCTCCCCGATGAACTACAACACCCAGCACCCTCCGCTCCCCTCCCCGATGAACTACAACACCCAGCACCCTCCGCTCCCCTCCCCGATGAACTACAACACCCAGCACCCTCCGCTCCCCCTCCCCGATGAACTACAAGGCCCAGCACCCTCCGCTCCCCTCCCCGATGAACTACAACACCCAGCACCCTCCCCCCTCCCTGATGAACTACAACACCCAGCACCCTCCCCTCCCCGATGAACTACAACACCCAGCACCCCGCCGCTCCCCTCCCCGATGAACTACAACACCCAGCACCCTCCGCTCCCCTCCCATCTCCGATGAACTACAAGGCCCAGCAACCTCTGCTCCCCTCCCCGATGAACTACAAGGCCCAGCACCCTCCGCTCCCCTCCCATCTCCGATGAACTACAATCCCCAGCAATCTGTGCTCCCGTCATCAACGTACTACAATCCCCAGCATTTCCAGCTCTGGGAACGCTCATTATCTAGAAGTGAACATTTCTGACATCCATGCCGGCATTGTCCAGTAGAGGGCGCCCACACCGCACTGCACACCGGCATTGTCCAGTAGAGGGCGCCCACACCGCACTGCAGACCGGCATTGTCCAGTAGAGGGCGCCCACACCGCACTGCAGACCGGCATTGTCCAGTAGAGGGCGCCCACACCGCACTGCAGACCGGCATTGTCCAGTAGAGGGCGCCCACACCGCACTGCAGACCGGCATTGTCCAGTAGAGGGCGCCCACACCGCACTGCAGACCGGCATTGTCCATTAGAGGGCGCCCACACCGCACTGCAGACCGGCATTGTCCAGTAGAGGGCGCCCACACCACACTGCAGACCGGCATTGTCCAGTAGAGGGCGCCCACACCGCACTGCAGACCGGCATTGTCCAGTAGAGGGCGCCCACACCGCACTGCAGACCGGCATTGTCCAGTAGAGGGCGCCCACACCACACTGCAGACCGGCATTGTCCAGTAGAGGGCGCCCACACCACACTGCAGACTGGCATTGTCCAGTAGAGGGCGCCCACACCACACTGCAGACCGGCATTGTCCAGTAGAGGGCGCCCACACCACACTGCAGACCGGCATTGTCCAGTAGAGGGCGCCCACACCGCACTGCAGACCGGCATTGTCCAGTAGAGGGCGCCCACACCGCACTGCAGACCGGCATTGTCCAGTAGAGGGCGCCCACACCGCACTGCAGACCGGCATTGTCCAGTAGAGGGCGCCCACACCACACTGCAGACTGGCATTGTCCAGTAGAGGGCGCCCACACCGCACTGCAGACCGGATTGTCCAGTAGAGGGCGCCCACACCACACTGCAGACTGGTGCCCATGGATTCCTCTGTGCGGGTGACGAAGGGTTAAACCCCTCCAAACAGGAAGTGTGAGATGTGATCACATGTTCTACATGGGAGGAGCCAATGCTGAATGAATCCTGAGCTGCCACTCCCATCACCCATGTGACAACAAGCACAGCACCACCAATGAAAACCAGTTGAAGTCCCAATCACTGGCTGGACATTTCATAGAGCGCCCCCTGTGGCCCCGAGATCACATTCCCACCACCATCTCTGGGGGCCCTTTATTACGGCCGGACTGAGATCTGTGCGTGTCAATAAAGTTTAAAGGGACGATGTTAAAGGTGAACTCCACCCCGTGTCATGTTCTGGTGTACAGGAAGTGGGCAGATCCACCAATGATCAGAGAACAAAGCTCATCCAATGTGCACACAACATCCCGGATCTGCATCTCCTCCAGCTGGGTGCGTCCCTGGCAGTTGTGGGTGGAGTCTGGTCACATGATAATCTGCTCCAACATGACGCCGTCACAGGGGATGGAGGACACAGCAAGTAAACGTCGCTGTAGTGGGCGGGGCCCTGCAAGGACCACCTCCGCAACTGGGACCTTCGTGTCCTGACAAAGAGAACCTGTCACCACAGAGCCAACGCAAGCCATGGTTACCCCTGTGATGTAAGAGGCCATATGGCAGGAGCGAGGAAGCCTCCACCAATGAGGAAGGAGGAACACCTGACATCACAGGGGTGGAGTCACACCCAGCAAAGTGGCTCCACCCAGAACTGGCACTCTGCTACATGATCTCAAGAATTAAACCCGGAGCCACTCTGTACACACAGCATTCATTTCTGGGGGTGGGCGGTTCTCTTCAGGATGATACAACTTAACCCCTCCCCCTGCACTACTGCCTATGTCAGAGCCATACAACACCCCACTCACCAGTTGTCCAAGCTTGTCCAAATTATCCAGGAAATATTTGACAGATTCCCCCTGGAAGAGACAGAAAAGTCAGTCAATGCAAATCAAAGAGCACCTGTCACAGCTCACAGACCACAGAACATGGTGAAGAGCGCCCCCTGTCACATCATGGGACTGCACAGGACCATGGGGACACCGGCAGCTTGTCCCGCCATGCCCTGTGTCCATTGGAGGGGACCAGCTTGTCCCACCATGCCCGTGCCCATTGGAGGGGACCAGCTTGTCCCACCATGCCCCGTGCCCATTGGAGGGGACCAGCTTGTCCCGCCATGCCCCGTGCCCATTGGAGGGGACCAGCTTGTCCCGCCGCCAGTGCCCATTGGAGGGGACCAGCTTGTCCCGCCATGCCCCGTGCCCATTGGAGGGGACCAGCTTGTCCCGCCATGCCCAGTGCCCATTGGAGGGGACCAGCTTGTCCCGCCATGCCCAGTGCCCATTGGAGGGGACCAGCTTGTCCCGCCATGCCCCGTGCCCATTGGAGGGGACCAGCTTGTCCCGCCATGCCCAGTGGAGGGACCAGCTTGTCCCGCCATGCCCAGTGCCGATTGGAGGGGATCAGCTTGTCCCGCCATGCCCAGTGCCCATTGGAGGGGACCAGCTTGTCCCGCCATGCCCAGTGCCCATTGGAGGGGACCAGATTGTCCCGCCATGCCCAGTGTCCATTGGAGGGGACCAGCTTGTCCCGCCATGCCCAGTGTCCATTGGAGGGGACCAGCTTGTCCCGCCATGCCCAGTGTCCATTGGAGGGGACCAGCTTGTCCCGCCATGCCCAGTGCCCATTGGAGGGGGATCAGCTTGTCCCGCCATGCCCAGTGCCCATTGGAGGGGACCAGCTTGTCCCGCCATGCCCAGTGTCCATTGGAGGGGACCAGCTTGTCCCGCCATGCCCAGTGTCCATTGGAGGGGGATCAGCTTGTCCCGCCATGCCCAGTGCCCATTGGAGGGGACCAGCTTGTCCCGCCATGCCCAGTGCCCATTGGAGGGGACCAGCTTGTCCCGCCATGCCCAGTGCCCATTGGAGGGGACCAGCTTGTCCCGCCATGCCCAGTGCCCATTGGAGGGGACCAGCTTGTCCCGCCATGCCCAGTGTGTCCATTGGAGGGGACCAGCTTGTCCCGCCATGCCCAGTGCCCATTGGAGGGGACCAGCTTGTCCCGCCATGCCCAGTGCCCATTGGAGGGGACCAGCTTGTCCCGCCATGCCCAGTGTCCATTGGAGGGGACCAGCTTGTCCCGCCATGCCCCAGTGCCCATTGGAGGGGACCAGCTTGTCCCCCATGCCCAGTGCCCATTGGAGGGGACCAGCCATGCCCAGTGTCCATTGGAGGGGACATGGCACCTCAGCAAGTCTCAGGATTTCAGGAGGAGAAGGCCAGTGCCTGCCTATCCTGAGACAGTATGCCCTCCATGGTCCTATGCAGCGGGGGCCAACAGAGCGCGGGGGGACGACAGAGTACAGCCAGCCATCCTACAACAGAACACAGGACCATACACGGGTGCAATGATCCAGGACTGAGGACCCTGCCAGACAGCGAGCCCAGGATAAGGAAATGTAGAATAGGAAGCACTGGAAAGTAGGACAAGGACTGACTGCTTCCTGGACTCTTCATTCACCCACCTGCCGTATAACAGACATGACCACAGATGACCAGAACACACACTGCCATTACCAACGTCCCGGCCAGAGCGCACCACAGACACACGTACTACATCCCAATGGTACAGATGAGATCCTAGCACCCATCATGGAGCGTGCCCAGACCGGGACGAGTTCTCAGTATGGAGCTCCACCCTCTACAAGTACCACCCGGATGCCTCCACAGTGACCCCGTCCCCGCAGGCTAGGATGTCTGTATACCACAGCCAGCCAATCAGGAGCCATCTGAGCAGGTGACTCTAAAGATGACTGGAATCTAGTGTCCCCTCACCCAACTCCACCGTCCCCACTCACCCCAGACAGACCACGATGGAAGGATCAGTAAAGGTCCCCACAGACCCCACCGTCCCCACTCACCCATTCACAATGAACTTGGAGGTTCTAAAGGTCCCTGTACAGACCCCTCCCTGTCCCCACTCACCCATTACAATGAACTTGGAGGTTCTAAAGGTCCCTGTACAGACCCCTCCCTGTCCCCACTCACCCATTACAATGAACTTGGAGGTTCTAAAGGTCCCTGTACAGACCCCTCCCTGTCCCCACTCACCCATTACAATGAACTTGGAGGTTCTAAAGGTCCCTGTACAGACCCCTCCCTGTCCCCACTCACCCATTACAATGAACTTGGAGGTTCTAAAGGTCCCTGTACAGACCCCTCCCTGTCCCCACTCACCCATTACAATGAACTTGGAGGTTCTAAAGGTCCCTGTACAGACCCCTCCCTGTCCCCACTCACATTACAATGAACCCAGGTTACAATGAACTTGGAGGTTCTAAAGGTCCCTGTACAGACCCCTCCCTGTCCCCACACTCACCCATTACAATGAACTTGGAGGTTCTAAAGGTCCCTGTACAGACCCCTCCCTGTCCCCACTCACCCATTACAATGAACTTGGAGGTTCTAAAGGTCCCTGTACAGACCCCTCCCTGTCCCCACTCACCCATTACAATGAACTTGGAGGTTCTAAAGGTCCCTGTACAGACCCCTCCCTGTCCCCACAGCCCACCCATTACAATGAACTTGGAGGTTCTAAAGGTCCCTGTACAGACCCCTCCCTGTCCCCACTCACCCATTACAATGAACTTGGAGGTTCTAAAGGTCCCTGTACAGACCCCTCCCTCCTTCACACGGCGATGTGGTACTGGTAATGGAGAGACCTGGTACTGCGCTAACAATGGAGCCCTATCCCTATAGCTGCTGGAGGAGCACATCTCTGGGGAGGATCCTGGGGTACATCCTCAGGTGAGCTGGCCCTGTGGGGTCAATGTGAGGGGCCACTGCAGCCATTTCTGGATACACCGTGTGATCACATGCATGAACATTGCGTGTTGCACACTATATATATATATATAGGACTGGTTTATACTGAGTGATGATTTATATTAGTGATCAGAGGGAGATGAGAGATACAAAGTAACATTGTTTATAACGAGCAGACGTATTGATCGATTGATTGCGGTGATCACTCTGATCCTTCCTGCGGGGAACACGCGTGTAGCACTGTGATTTATATGTTTAAGGTTCAGCGCTGCACTGTGTATCCATGTAGTATGTGGTGCCGGCAGTCCCCACTGATACTCCGTTCATGTAATGTGAGGAGATGTCCCCAGTGTGAGGACCAGCGAGACAGAACGGGGGAGAGCGATACATTGTGGAGGTACATAGGACAGGAGAACACGGCCAAACCTACTGATACAAAGTAACATTGTTTATAAACCGATCAACCAGCTACACGGATCATACACATCCATCAGACGGGAGATACAAAGTAACATTGTTTATAAACATCGATCAGACGGGGAGAGATACAAAGTAACATTGTTTATAAACATCCATCAGACGGGAGATAGAGAGATACAAAGTAACAAGTAACATTGTTTATAAACATCGATCAGACGGGAGATAGAGAGATACAAAGTAACATTGTTTATAAACATCGATCAGACGGGAGATAGAGATACAAAGTAACATGTTTATAAACATCGATCAGACGGGAGATAGAGATACAAAGTAACATTGTTTATAAACATCGATCAGACGGGAGATGGAGATACAAAGTAACATTGTTTATAAACATCGATCAGACGGGGATAGAGAGATACAAAGTAACATTGTTTATAAACATCGATCAGACGGGGGATGGAGAGATACAAAGTAACATTGTTTATAAACATCGCTCAGACGGGAGATAGAGAGATACAAAGTAACATTGTTTATAAACATCGCTCAGACGGGAGATAGAGATACAAAGTAATCGGATGACTTGTATTCCATCTGTATAGATGTGAGGAATTTTCCATAATAGGTGTTTCCTGATTGAACCCTTCATTTACTTCAGCCTGATGAGCTCCCTCTTCATCCCCCCCCATGACGACGTTCCGTATCCCCCCCCCCCCCGTGTGGTCCGACATATAGAGGGGTAGATGTTGGAGTCCCAGCGCTGAGCTGTGTACAGACGGTGAATGAAGACCCCTCTCCCTGGATGGACCCCCCTCCTGCACATCCCCCCCACATGCCCCCCAATAGTCACACGTCCTTCTGTTGTACTTGTAGAAGATAACGACTAGAAGTAGATTGTGAGGTTCCGGCGTGTGTGTGATCATTGCATGACAAGAACACCAGACCCCCGACAGGGAGCCGCATCCGCCAGGACCCCCCCCTGCATGAGTGAGGAATGAGAGCTTCCAATAGGGAGTCCTTTATTCCCTAAGAGGGGACCGGCTGTGATCTTCCTGGAGGTGTCTGTTCCAGATGTGAGAACGTCATCACGCCATCCATCCGACCCCCGCCGGCCGGCCAGCCATCTAGCCATCCGCCCCTCCCGGCCAGCCATCTAGCCATCCGCCCCTCCCGGCCAGCCATCTAGCCATCCGCCGGCCAGCCATCTAGCCATCCGCCCCTCCCGGCCAGCCATCTAGCCATCCGCCCCTCCCGGCCAGCCATCTAGCCATCCGCCCCTCCCGGCCAGCCATCCGGCCAGCCATCTAGCCATCCGCCCCTCCCGGCCAGCCATCTAGCCATCCACCCCTCCCGGCCAGCCATCTAGCCAACCGCCGGCCAGCCATCTAGCCAACCGCCCCTCCCGGCCAGCCATCTAGCCAACCGCCGGCCAGCCATCTAGCCATCCCCGGCCAGCCATCTAGCCATCCATCCTCCCGGCCAGCCATCTAGCCATCCGCCCCTCCCGGCCAGCCATCTAGCCATCCGCCCCTCCCGGCCAGCCATCTAGCCATCCGCCCCTCCCGGCCAGCCATCTAGCCATCCGCCCCTCCCGGCCAGCCATCTAGCCATCCGCCCCTCCCGGCCAGCCATCTAGCCATCCGCCCCTCCCGGCCAGCCATCTAGCCATCCGCCC